AACTCAATAGCTTTCCTCTACATGAACAAGAGAAAGAAATAAAAGGAATAAAGATAGGAAATGAAGAAGTCAAATTGTCATTATTTGCAGATGACATGATACTCTATATAAAAGACCACAAGAACTCGAACCGAAATCTTCTAGACTTAATAAGCAAATTCAGCACAGTAGCTGGATACAAGGTCAACACACGAAAATCAATAGCTTTACTCTACATGAACAACAGACTCACTGAGAGAGAAATAGGGCAAACAATTCCTTTCACAATAGCATCCAAAATACTGAACTACCTAGGAATCAACCTAACAAAAGAAATCAAAGACCTCTTGTTTGAGAACTATAGCACTCTGAAAAGAGAGATTGAAGATGATATCAGAAAATGGAAAGACATGCCTTGCTCCTGAGTAAGAAGAATCAACATAGTGAAAATGGCCATATTTCCAAAACTGCTATATAGGTTCAATGCAATCCCAATTGAAATCCCAGCAGCATACTTCATAGACCTTGAGAAAACAATCCAAATGCTCATTTGGAACAAGAAGAGACCCAGAATAGCAAAAGCAATTCTAGGCAACAGAGACATGGCAGGAGGTATCACAACCCCCAACTTGAAACTATACTACCAAGCTACGGTGATAAAAAACAGTGTGGTACTGGCAAAGAAACAGACCTGTGGACCAGTGGAACAGATTAGAAGATGCAGAAACAACTCCAGATGCACTCAGCCACCTCATCTTTGACAAAGGAGCCAAACACCCTCACTGGAAGAAAGATAGCCTCTTTAATAAATGGTGCTGGAAAAATTGGGTTACAACTTGCCAAAGAATAAAACTAGACACATATCTCTCACCATGCACTAAACTAAAATTGAAATGGATTAAAGATCTAAATATTGAAACAGAAATGCTGAACTGGCTGGAACAGAGGTTAGGTAGAACTCTTGAAGATATTGGTGTAGGAAAAGATTTTATAAACAAAACCTCAGTTGCCTGTGAACTAGAAGAAACAATCAACAAGTGGGATCTCTTCTTATTAAAAAGTTTCTGCACAGCAAGAAAAACCACCAGCAGTGTGAAGAGACAATCCACAATGAGGTCTACTGTGGTTCTGATGGGCTTTCCTTTGTATGTGATTTTTTCTTTTCTCTAACTGCTTGTAGAACTTTGTTCTTCTGTTTGCTTTCTGGAATCTTAACAATTATATGCCTATGTGT